GAACACTCGAAGGTGTCTGCATTTTCTTTCTCTCCAATTGCAAGTGTTTAAAGTCATTGATGTGTGAAAGGATTTTTATGATTTAGATTAAAAATGTCCTGTGTCCAAAGGTGGAGCTTTTGGAAGGCGCCCGGACCACGGGGCATGGCCCTTCTTGGGGGGCCAGTCCATTGATGAGTTAGTTCAGAGCTCCGTGTGCTGTCGGAGACAGGGTCTCGCTTTTTGAGACAGGGTCTCACTATGCAGTTCCTCCTGTCTCACAAATGTGCCACCAAGCTGTGAACGCCAGCCGCCAGCCCTTCACGTTGGGAATTCCATTCCTTCGAGATGAATACATGGTCAGTACTCTCGCCCCTTTCCTCTTTCCCATCCCCGCTCCTTGTGAACCTGCCATGACTCACTGAGTCGGTGTTGATGGTAAAGGTAATTTTTAATTTTATCACCCTTGTTAAGAAGTAGGGAAGGGGCTGGGGATTTAGCTCAGTGGCAAAGTGCCTGCCTAGCAAGCGCAAGGTCGTGAGTTCGGTTCCCGGTACTGGAGAAAAACCAAAAAAAAAAAGAAGTGGGGAAGATGGGGAAGGCCTAGGTTTGGTTCCTAGCATCACAGAAACAACAACAAAAATTGAAGGAGAACTATGTTCCTAGCAGTTAAGATTACCAAAAAATACACAATGTGTTGGAAATATCACAAGCAATTTTTTATTGTGTATATTTTATAGGACATTTATTAATCATTCTTGGGCTTTTAAGCAGTTTTTGTTTTGTTTTGACCTTGGCCCTGTTGATAAAGAAATGTGGAATAGTCTGTGGTACGTGAAGCTTGCGTCACGGGCTGCTTGCTGGCCCCGTTCCTTGGGTGAGGAGCCCCACAGCCATCGCTGGGCTTCTGTAGCCAGGAGGCCAGCACTTCTGTGGAGACGTCTCTGTGTTGTAGTCGGGTGGGCTGACTGCTTTGGAACAGCAGCAGCTTAGCATGATAGCAGGTCGCTTCTTTACGTGTGTGTCAGACACCAAGCCCATCTGAGGGGCTCTGCCTGGAAGTTCCACCTGCCCTCACCATCACAGTGGGTGTTCACAGCTTCGGCATAGGAACGGGGTGCGGTGGACATAACTGTCCCGTCCATGACAGCCTGCATTTGTGTTTGCTGGTGAGTGGTAAAAATGCAAAGCACACAATCTCCCTTCTTGGTTATTTTGAGTGTACGGCTCATTTCTGTTACATATAGTCTCATTATTGTCCAGCCACATGCAGGACTCCTCTCCACACCTGCTGCTGCATCCCCATTAGACAGTTCCCCATGTCCGTCCGCCCCGACCGCCCGGCGCCCATCTGCTACTTCCTGTTTCCATGAACTTGGTTACGTATATTGGTGCAGGGGGAGCCATGCAGGATTTGTCTTTCCGTGGCCGGCTTTTCTCACTTAGCATGACGTCCTCGGGGTTCATCCATGTGGCAGCATGTGTTAGAATGTCCCTTCTTTTTAAGGCTAATTTTCATGTCATACACTGACCACCTGGGGTCACTGTCCAGGGCTGCTAGGGATGTGGCTGTGGCGCCTCCGGCTTCACCGCGGCTGTCTTGAGGCTCCTTATAGTGGAAGCCTCTGCCCACAGTCTCCATCTCTGTGCAGCGGAGGACCCTTGTGGGTCTTCTGTCACCTAGCCTTTCCACCCTTCCTCCCCTACCTGCAGTTAGCAGCGTTCCCCTTGGAAACAGCCAGTTCTTTGCTCACATACTTCGCCAGAGGAAGTTTCTCGTGATTGTGTCACAGGAGACGGGGGTGGGGGTGGGGTGCCCGACCCCCCACGGTCATCCAGGGCCCAGGCTTTGTTCCTCACGTGGTTTCTCCCCTCCTGTGCTGAAAGAGAAACAGAGGATGCGCAGAAAGCCACGGGGCGGGATCTGAGTGCTGTGTTCCTTTCACCTGCGTTCCGCTGTCAGACCGGGCATTCCTCCCCTCCTTAACTAACCATGATGAGACACAAGTGTGATCTTGCTCTCTGGCGGGGAAAGGCAGAGGTACGAGGCGCATGCAGCAGCCGCTGCCCCAGTGGAGCCAGGTTGGAAGCGACAGCAGGTGTGGTGGCTGGAGTCGAGACGGCTGCCGTCAACGTCAGGGGAGCAGCGAGGGCAGCTGGCGCTCCGCAGGGTCTGAGCTCAAACCAGCTTGTGCGACCTAACGTTACGATGTTTATAAAAACTACTATGGTGTTTGTAGGAAAGTTTAAACATGTGGATCAAATAAACGGAAAAGCAGCTCTTCCAGAAACCATGGTGTTTCCACTCAGAGTTAAGGCAGAAAAAAATGTGTATCAGCATCTTTGAGTTATGACTGTTGAAGCCTGTGAATATAAAGTAACTCGGAATTTTAGAAATATATATCAACTACGTAACTTTCTTTTTATTTACCATTTAACTAGTGTATGTTTATTGAACGTTTAATAGGTGCCAGACAGTGTGAGGATAATAACGTTAGTCCCTCAAAAAGGATCGAATTTAGTGGGAAAAAATAAGGCAAATAGGTAGATTCTAGAAGCGTCAGGTAGAGTCTTCAGATGGAGGAGTTCCATGTCTGAGATGCCGCAGCCCAAGCTCAGGTGGCACAGGCGGAAGGCATTGGAAGCAAAGGGCTCTGCAGATCTCAGTGCTCGGTGTCACCCCAGAACCACCTTCCTTATTTCCGAGTTTATGGGCAGAATACCTGCCTTTCAGGTTCTCTGGGGATCCGGGACAATGCTCAGTATTACTACAATGTGGGAGTTATTTTTATTAACATAACTGGAGTGAGTGGAGTTCAGGCTGGGTGGGGATATGTGTTGCCTTTTACTAGTTCCCAGATTCTCTCGTTTGGAGGTCTTTAACTGAGCCCTGCTGTGCGCATGGTACTTAGATCACAGTGGTATGCACGTGTGTGTGCACGTGGGTGTGCCTCTCAGAGCCCTCTCCGTGTTGAGCAGAGGTGTTTGTATTGCAGGTCTGTGAGCTCCAGGGTTACACACAGCCTTCCCACTGTCAGCTGCCAGACACCCTTGTCACTGTCCCCACTGTCCTACTCTGCTGCCGGGACCGCCTGACTTATCCCGGTCACCTCTTCGTCACCTACTCCCCGACCTCTCAGTGCCTGCATTTCAGTGGCTACGTGCAGGGTGCCTGTTCTTTTCCTTAAGCTTAATTCTTTGTTTCCCAGATTACCTCAGAAATAATGTACCACCTCCCTTCAGTCTTCGCACGTTCACTTTCCTTTTTACATTCAGACTATGTCCCCCCGTGGTCATCCTGGTGGTCCACAGAAGCATCTTCCTGCGTTCCTGCCCAGCTGCCGCCTGACACTGCTCTGCTGAGCCCCTCGCCCTGTCCTCCGGCGGTTCCACGGTTCACTGAATGGCCTTCTCGAATGTCCAGGACGGACCTCTCCTTTACACACAGAAGAAAGCGCAGAAGTATCTGATAGAGAGTGGAAGAGCAGCCAATTAGATTCACCTAGCACTGAAAGGAATTTTTTTAAAGAATTATTTCCTATGTAGTTATGTTTTACTTCGTTACCAGTATTGCAGAAATAATCCTTTTCAAAAACAGGTCATCTCAGCTGCATGTGGATTAAAGGCGCATTTGTAGGATGAGTGGGAACCATTTATTACATTGTTCCTATGTCAGATGGGGTTCCCAGTCCTAAACAACTGCCTCTATTTTGGCACAGTAATTATCAGATGTGGTCTGTCTATTGAAAAATTTTCCCTCTCAACTAATTTTTTAAAAAAGGGTTTAGATTTCTGTAAAATCCCCTTATTTGTTTTTCTTATATTCAGTGAGTGTCTTTTTGTGCCATTTGCGGCAAAGATTCTCAAAATCCTTCAGCCTCAGGGAAGAAAGTCTCTGCGGCAGCTGAAAACATCAGGCATTAACAGATGCGGCACATGTGTGCTGAGCTCACAGGCCTGCAACCCCTGCACGGCAGACTTCCCACTAACCCAAACCGGACACGTTTGCAGATGTGAGCCTCACCACACTGAGGACTCGCCTGACACCGATAGTTGAAGCACAAGCATGAAGTTATCTTGTGTCCGTGCGACCCTGTACTGCCCCACGTAGGACTTCGTGCCTCTGCCTAGGCGCTGCCCTGCTCTCCTTCCCTCTCCTGTGGGCACCAGCCCACCGTGCCCACCTTCAAGCCACCCAAACGCCATGCTAAATCAGCCCTTAGACTTTCTGATTTCCTTCCCTCTGTAATTAGAGAAATCAGAACAAAATGAGTGTACAGATAGAAATGAGTATACTCACGATCCCCTAAGATATCCCGTCTGCCACCCCCCTTGTGCCACCCCCTCCGCCCCGGTTTAGAAATGTCCACACGCTGGGAGGCTGCCATGCAGAAGCTGCTTTCTGATGCTTCTCTGATTGCCTTTTCCAGCACAGACAAACACAGTCCCTCCTTAGTTCCCAGGAGCTTTACGCTTACAGAACCTGGCATGTGCTTCCCTGAATTACACTGGAGTTAGTGGGTTTCAGGCTTAAGAACACTGTTCATCTTTGGCTTAATTTTCTATGCCTCTGCATTTAGCAGAGGGGTCTGCTTCTTGTAGGAGCATAAAAAGTGTTAACTGACCCAGCCTCTGTAATCCCACCTCCTCAGAAGAATGAAGCAAGAGGACCACAAGTTCAAGACCAGCCTAAGCAACTTAGCAAGACCCTCTCTTGAAGTATGAAAATAAAGGGTTAGGAATGTAGCACATTGGTAGAAAACTTGCCTACCACGTGCCGGGCCCTAGCTTTATTCCCCAATATATAAAAAAGTGTTTATTGAGAAATTATGAGTTCTCTTCAAGATGAGTTAGTTTCAGTGTGCTTTGTTGGTGAAGTTGGTGTTTGGGATAGAGAGCTCCTTGAATCATCCCACATTTTCCTTCACAGGAGTTGCTCTGGATTTTCAAGGTACCGGTGCAGCTATATTTTATTAACAAGGTTGATCTCACGTGCGAGGGTCTGCTTTCTTTCCTGGCAGCCTTGTGTGCAAGCTGAACACCAGGACCACCATCCTGGCAGCCACCAACCCCAAAGGCCAGTACGACCCCCAGGAGTCCGTGTCAGTGAACATCGCCCTCGGCAGCCCGCTCCTCAGTCGATTCGACCTGATCCTAGTTTTGCTGGATACCAAGAATGAAGACTGGGATCGCGTCATTTCCTCCTTCATCTTAGAGAATAAAGGTACGTATAGAAAACCATTCAGGCTGACGGAGAAAGCTTAGATCTAAATAAAGGCAATTTTCCTTTAAAAATGTGAAACACCCAAGATACGCTTTTTGCAGACCCCCAAGGGACGCTTAGCCAGAAGGTGTCAGTGGGAGGAAAGGGTTATCGGGCCCAGCATACTGAGCAGAAGGGAAGGGGCTCCACTACCTGCCAGGTGAGACTGCCCTGGATGCAGGTGTCCTCGGGAGGAGAGGAGGCGACCTCGTGTACCACATTCCCATAAGGCAGCTCTTGCCACACAAGCGACTGAACTGTGAGGTAGAAATGCTCAGGTAGAGGCTAAATGCTAGCCTCCGTGTAAGCAGATTTCCCCGAGTGATCCTCTGATCACTAGCAAGTAGACCGGAGTATCCTGAATGATGTTAGCCCCTGAGGAGGCATAACTTCATGAGGTCAGATCCCCAGACTTCTCGTTCTGGATGGAGATGGTCTAGATTGCTGTGACCAGAGCCTGGAGGCTGTCTTTTGTAGGTGGGTACGAGAACTGGAGACCCTTCATGATGTCACACTCCCTGTTGTTCAAACATGTGACTGACGCAGGTTACCCGAGCAGGGCTGAGCAGCTGTGGAGCATGGAGAAGATGAAGACCTACTTCTGCCTCGTCAGGACGCTGCAGCCCACGCTGTCGGACGCGGGCAATCAGGTTCTTCTGCGCTACTACCAGATGCAGAGGCAGAGCGACGCCCGCAGTGCAGCTCGCACAACCATCCGCCTGCTGGAGAGCTTGATCCGCCTGGCAGAAGGTGGGCTCCACTCACAGCATGACACTTCCGCTGAGGCCCAGTGTACACAGCGTGGCGTGGGTACCACAGAGCCGTCCCCACCTAGGGTGCCCGTGGTCACGTGACAGTGAAGGCTCAGGCCCCCGGGACTCACTCCTCCAGGACAGGAAGGGTGCTGAGCAGAAGTAGTGACCTTGGAGCCCTCTGGAGACGGCCTGTAGGGGAAGGTGCCGCCCCTTAGAAGCCCTCACTTCCACTGTACTTGTTTCAGCGGCTCTGTCAGCATTTGCGGTGGGAGGTTCTCGGTGTGTGTCCCATGTGCAGCAGCCTGTCCCATTCTTGTTCAGTGTCGGCCGCTCGGACCCATCACATTGTCACAGGACGAAATCGATAGTGCTGTGCCCTGTTCCTCCCTTGAGCTCGGACTGGCGTGGACACCCGTACCTAACACGTGTCCCCACGCCTTCCCTTCGCTCTGGCTTTTACATTTGGCCTGTGTTCAAATCATTATTTAAAAATTCACCTGAGCTGACTGTATCATAGGATGAAATCCTACAAGCTTAATAAAAATATAATAAAATAAAAGGGCCTCATTTTTTTCAAGGATTTATAATGAATCTTAAGCCAAGAAATAACCCAGAATTCAGGCTTATTCATTTGGTAGCTTCAGAAGCTCATAAATCATAGATAAGAAGTGCCAGAGATGAAAAATGAGTGTTAGTTTTGTATGTTTCCACAACAGATTAAAAAGCGAGAGTTAAATTTCCGAATATTAGATACGTGTTTGTATAGCACCTTTACTTTCCAGAGTCTAGAGTACTTTTTCATGGAAATAGACAACACAGCCTGGGCTCTGTGGAAAGTTTAAGCCCATTTTTGGCGAAAAACTGTAAAGCCAGTTGAATGTGGACTTGTGTACTCTGTCTGGTAAATTTATGATGAATAGCTCATTCATAAAATACAGCTCTGGCGAGGGGTCAGAGACGAGTTCATCCCCTCAGCTGTTCCTAAAATCAGACGCATCTCACGCCCGCAGCTCACGCCCGCCTGATGTTCCGCGACACTGTGACCCTGGAAGACGCGGTCACGGTGGTGTCGGTGATGGAGTCCTCCATGCAGGTGGGTGCTCTGTGCGCCGAACGTTTATTTTCCCTGATTGCCAGCTCTGCCAGCACTGTCTAGAGCTACACACATGATCCTGTTCAAGCCTAGTGATTGCTGGGAGCACGCAGAGGGGGAGACCTGCCCTTGCCTCTGAGCCCTGGTGTAGAGCAGGGCGTTTCGGGGCACTGGGGGTGTTCACTGTGACAGCGTAGCTTCCTGTGGCAGTCCCGGCCGCCCAGAGCTTGAGGGCAGAGAAGGGATCCCAGGGGCTCAACATCTGGGTGGGGTGTGCAGGGCTGGTCCCAGCCCCCCACGGTGAGTGGTTCCGGGGGTCCAGCTGCCCTAGGGACTCTGCCTTGCCTCTCCCCTGCAGGGCGGGGCGCTGCTCGGAGGGGTGAACGCTCTGCACACGTCCTTCCCGGAAAATGCCCGGGCGCAATACCGGCAGCAGTGCGAACTCATCCTCGAGAGGCTGGAGCTGCACAGCCTGCTGAGCGAAGAGCTTCAAAGACTGGAAAGGTGAGGAGGGAAAACCTGGAGAGAGAAGTGTGGAAATCCTTCCTCAGCATCGGAGGAACAGAGGAGCGTAAACTCAGTGAACCGCCTGCCTGCCCTGTCTCTGCACGTGTAGTGAGCACTCTAAGACTCAGTGGCTTCTTAAAAAAGAGGAATGGTTCAAAAGGAAAGAGGAGCTAGGGAGAGGGAAGTGGGGGAGCAAGGAAGGGAAAAGAGAAAACGAGTGAAGAAGGATAAAATGGAAACAAAGCTTGGTAAGTGAGGGGAAAGGGGGTTGCAGGGAGGAGGAGGGGATTGGGAAAGGAGGAATCATGATATGATATACAAGTGTAAATTCCCAGTGATGAATATGATTTTATGGATACCTTGAATTGTACCAGTAAATTTAATTTTTTAGAAAGACAAGAATAAATGCAAACCAGTGTTCCCTGGGTGGGCGTCAGAGACGCGGGCAGGCCCGGGCGAGGGCGTGTCTGTGCCGCACACAGGCCCGCGGGGCCACAGCCCAGCAGTGACAGAAGCCTCCCTGGGACTTGTGGCAGTGTGGCCAGTGGGTCTGGAGGACAGTGGGAAGCACGCGTCTCAGGAGTCAGTGAGCTCGCGCATTCTTTACCTCAGACGTGGAGCTGAGCACCCGAGTTTGTGGCCATCCCCGGGGCGCAGGACGGGCTGGCAGGACTGCACTCAGGCGTCCTCATGACCAGGGGTGGCCTCGGGCTGAGTCTGGCGGGCCTGGGGCACGGAGTGCTGTGGAAGGGAAGCTACAGGCGGAGCAGTGGGACTACATGGGTGGAGACTCTGCTCGCCGCTGATTCTCCCTTTTGCCTCCTCCCGGCTCCAGCAGCATGCTCTTTCAAATGTATGACCCCAGCACAGCCTCCCATGGAGCGGGCTGACTTTACCCTGCTGCCCCTGGGTGCCAGGCTGCACCAACTTGCACGCTAAGTGAAGCCAGCCTCCCTCTCTCGTGGCCTCCTGGCTCTTTTATGACCTGGAGTGGTGCACTGGTCAGTTACACCTCTGAGTGGTGATGTTTGCTGCAGGCGATCCTTTCCGCCCCCGAGGGCAGGGCTTTGCCCGTGGAGGGGCTGCTCATTTCCTGCAGCCCCAGGGACAGAAACTGCTGGAGAGTGGGGTCAGGAGAGAAGCGAGTGTGAGAGCTGTCAGCATTGTGCTTTAGACACACGGCCGTGGACTTCTCAAATTCAAAACAACCCTTCTAGAGGAGGAGGAGAGTGTTGGCTGTCTAAAGACAGGGTTGTGCCTTAGAGTGTTCTGTTCTGGGTAATTTTTCTGTAACGTTCTGACATTGAAGCTCAGAGTAACTAAACCAGATGTTACACACCAAAGGTGAGCCACCCCCAGACCCCAGTCTAATGTTAGTCTCATCGAGGGAGAGAAGCCCAACTAGTGTATGTGTTTTTACTACGCCCTGGAAAGAGTTCTCTGTTCCTTAAAAAGATCATACAATTACAATACAATCGCTGGTATTTTTATCAAACTTTGCTTGTGGAAAATCATTACCATTGTCAGTCTGCTCCTAGTAGTGGCCGTCCCATCTCAAAGCAGAGGCCAGCGGCGCTGTCCTGTAGGACGGTATGGTAAAACTGCAGAAATTATATGTGGAGAGAACTCGAGTTCGGAGGAAGAATTGTGTTAAAATAATAGAGCCAGCCAAGCGTGGTACCTGCCTGGGATCCAGGTCTCAGAGAACCAGGAACAGCATGGTCAGGGCCAGCCTAGCCAACTCAGAGAGACCTTGTCTCAAAATACACACACACACACACACACACACACACACACGCGCGCGCGCGCGCTCAGCCGGGATGTAGCTTAGCCTGAAGCCCCGCATTGAATCCCCAGTATCACTAAATAAGTGCCACGTGAATTGTGGGTGAGTTTTCTCATCTGCTTCTGGATGTGCTTTTTCCCCCGATGTAGTAGGTGCGTTGGGGTCATGAGCCGCCTGCAGGTGTTTAGTGGGCTGTCTGAGGGACCCGGCTGCAGGGAGCTCCACCTGTTAGAGCGCGGCCCTTCCGCCTGTGCTGTGCTTTGAGAATGAGTGTTGCCAGGCAGATCCCGCACTCCGTGAGGAAAGCGGTTTGGACTCTGCTGGGTGACCCGGCTTTGCGGGAGAGGGCGGCCTGGCTGCCTGGGTGCCCACCGTGAAGGTGGGCGCAGAGTGGCCCACACACCTGACCACGCTCCGCAGGAAGTGACTCTCACATGCACCGAGTCCAGTACCTACGGGGCAGGGACGCATGGGCATAACTTCAGTCTCCTGCCTTGGTTCTGATCTGCACACCAGGTGCTAACAGCCAGCACTGCAGCTGCCCGGCAACACGAGCCACAGCCGGCCCACACCACCTCAGTCTGGCTGCGGGCTTTCCCTCCTTCCTCCCAGCCAGTCTTAGGTAGCTTAGGGTAGCTCCGGTGCCTGTCAGAGCGCCGCATCCTGTACTGCTCCTCCTAGAAGGGTCGTTCCCTCTGCCGCTCCGGGAAGCGCTGCAGTGTTCACTGGGGATGGCTGGACTCAGAGCATCTGGATGGCATCCTAGGGGCTAGGCCGGTGGGAAATTACGGCAGATTCTGCGCCCCTCGGTCACGTTTTCCTTCTCTGTCTGTGCCAGCTTGCAGAGTCAGGATGTGCGTCCGTCCCAACCTCAAGCAGCGGAGGCGGAGGCAGACACCACACCAGGGTCCGCCGGGGACGACCCGCGGGACAAGCTGAAGCTGACTTCGCCGCAGCAGGAACTGAGCGGTGGCCTGCGCGCCCTGGCGCCTGGAGGCAGCCCCTGGGGAAGCCCAGCTCCGGGGCACAGAGACCCCAGAGGTGACGGCCGGGACCGGGGTGACCTCATGGCCCCTCAGCGGCCCGGACCTCGAAACACCGCCCTTGCCTCTCCCGGGCCCCGCACAGCTGAGGGAGACGCGGCTCGGGAAATCTCGGACGAGGCCAAGCGCCAGCCCGGCCCTGGGAGCCCTGCAGCGGCCTCTTCGCCCCTGCGGCCGCCGGGTGCTGAGGATCGAGGGGCGGGAGCGCCCCGGTCGGAGGCGGTGGAGGAGGAGCCGGTCTCCGCCGGGGC